TTATTTATTTATTCATTTAGAGTGTGTGTGTGTGTGTGTGTGGGTGGGTGGGTGGGTGGGTGGCCAGCTCAGCCCACCTGGGAGCAGGGCGGGCTGGCATGTGGTGCTGGGGGATTGAACCGCGGTCCCTGTGCTTTGCCAAGCTTGCTCCAAGTAGGTGCTTTAGACCACTGAGCCATCTCTCCAGCCCGAAACGTAAAAATTTTTACATAAGATTTTTAGATTAGAAAGCTTTAGCTAATTTACTGAAATTCATAGTTTCTTTTTTACAGTGAAAAATAGGTTTATTGGAATGTTTTTAGTTATAGTCAAAGGCAGAAAATTTAGTTTTTGTTACACCCATAAACATGTGGAACCTGCTTACAAAGCAAGCATATTATAAAAACAATGACATCCCTGCGGCACCAGTGGGATGGTTTTGGATCTTCTTTAGCATAATGATTTGGTTCTCTGCGTAGGCTTTTGGACTCCTAGCCTGACCCCCATCTGGATGCAGTGGTGCAAGAACTTACGCCAGTAAAGTATTAGTCTACAACATTGTCCTTCAGTGTTTGACTATATATACAGATAATGAACTGGAAAGTATCTAGTTTCAAATTAGGTCCTTGGAATACAAGATCGTTATCTTTGCTTTATACAGTTATTCAAAGTACATTTTATTGGAAGGGAAGAAAATAATTGGATATTCTCAGTGCTCCATTTTGAAGTGATACTTGCCTCTTAGTTTCTTGAAAAAGAAGTTTTGAAAGTTACACGTAGGTTTCATTTAAATTACGCAGCAGGCTAGTATTGATAATAATGTCCCAGGTCTTGTTTAATGAGGAGCTCCAAATCAAGTATGGTATTTCACAGCTAGAAGAATGATGATCACTAGCAAAAGGACAGCAGCAACCGAGGCCATGGTGGCTCTTATTTTGCATCCGCACCACCACACTTGCCTTCGTAGTTGTTTGGCTCTGTTGCTAAGAGCAGCTGCATTATCCGATAAGCCTTCTGACTTGTCCTGCAGTTCGTCTAGTCTCTCCCTCTTTCAGTTACCTTTGTGATGTTTGCTTGCATGACATCAGTAACTTCATCCACCTGATTCTGAACATGCTTGATTTTATCATTTCTAGGTCCAAATCTTGGTCCAGATGGTCCCCTTAGAAAACAGTCCTCTTCTTCATCTGAACATCTTCCAAAAGATTTCTCCTTTCACTTTTCACAGAACCAGTGACGTCATCGTCATTTGGGTGGCGGGTAACCTGGGGAGGCATACTATTTACTCCTGGAGTACTTCTTTATTTCCTCGTAGAGTATTCATCATCTGTGGCTCTGGGAGCTCCTGGCAGCTCTCCTGGGCAGCGTGTAGTGGGTGGGCAGCTGGGGGAAGAAGCAGGGGCCGTGGAAGGGGGAAGAGAGGGGGAGACAGCAGGCGCGCACCCGGCCATGGCCAGTGTGCCAAAGCTGCGCCCCTACTCATCCAAAGTTTCTTTTTTCTTTTGTATTTTGAGACAGGGTCTCACCATATAGTTCAGACTTGCCTTGATCTCACTGTGTAGCCCAGGCTGACCTCAAACTTGCAGCCTCCCCAGGCTAGGATTATAGATGTGTGCTAGCGCACCAAGCTCAGAAAGTTTCTTTTCTTTTTTTATACTGGGGATCAAACTCAGGACCTTGTACTTGCCACACAGGTGCTTATACCACTGAGCTATCTCCCCAGGTCCTCAGAAAATTTCTTGGCAAAAAAAATCTTCATGATGGGAACACATAATTTTTGTAACTGAAGAAAAACTTTTATTAAAATGTTGCTGAAAGTCTAACACAATTAGCACCAGGCTGTCTTTGCGTGCACTCCTCTGCAGCAAGGATGTCAGCACCGGCCAAGGTCCATGCGGTGTATGCGTAGGCAGAGCACAGGGGCGGCACCACGACCTGAACACCTTGCTCTGCTCTTATCCCCTGTCCTTTTCTTTACCCTGCCATGTCTCTAAGCTCCTGTCTTCTTTAACTTTGTAGTTGGCTGACCCTTTGTGCTCCCCCTGCTGCATACAAGACCCACACCCTTAGTTTCCTGCCTGGTAGCTTGACACTGGCCTCCTGTGGTTCTGTCTTCATCCTGCCAGCCCATCAAGCCCTGGGTCAGATGCCACTGTATCCACACAGACCTGTCTGCTAGTGACTATCCTAATGTCAGGGGCTCTCACCTGGAAAATCTCGCACGCCATCGCTCGTCACCTCCAGCTGCAGTGTGGCTCTCAGGATATGGGCTCCTAGAGGGCAGCATCATGTTCTCACTGACATTGTGCCCTCCTTGGGCCCTCCCAGGACCTGGCACATCACAGGTGTTCTTAATGATTGAGTAATTGAATATACTGTATGACCAAATAGCAGGGTTATTGTTTTTCACTTACTGTTTCTGTGTCTCTGAGCTAGTTTACCCTGGATTCTAAAAAATTCCAGAAAATAAGAAACCTTACACTATATTAAGATAACTAGAGCGGGTACAGAGAACTTGACTGCAGTGCCATTGAAGATACTCAGTTGTTCTTTGCTAGTGATATTCTTTATCTGTTTGTTGGGTCTGTAGTCTTATTTCTCAGACTGTTGAAGGAAAGGCTGCTGAAAACATACCAAGGGGGTCACATTCCTCATAGATTTTCTTCACATTTCTTTATTGAGGTAGGAGCCCAGGCTCAGAAGACCTGGGTCAGATATCTGGTGGGGCCTTAGGGGCACCAGGTAGGACATGGGACTGCAGTCCTGCAGACGTGCCCCAGGCATGCTTCTCCTGCGGGACGACTGGGTTAATGACTTACTGCCTTGTTTGCTTTTCAGCACTTACAAACTTGAAGAAAGGCTACCTGTTCATGTATAATTTTGTGCAGTTCTTGGGATTCTCCTGGATCTTTGTTAACCTGACAGTGCGGTTCTTTATCTTGGGAAAAGGCAAGTATGGAATTCCGGGGCTGGTTTTCCCTTTCTCAGTAGTTTGACCATCTGCTCGCCCAACACAGTGCTCTCTGCCTTGGAAGGCAGCAGCATCCCCGCGTTTGCACTGTGGGGCTTCCACGGTGCTGTCATCGCTCTTGTTTCCTGCAGCTGTCTGAGGCAGGCTGATGGAATAACAAGTGAGGAAACAGGCCTGGAAACTTTTACTTCTACAAATATGCTCTGAGGAAATAATCAGAACTGTAGGCAAAGCTTTTTTGAAAATATAAACATTGGGGCCGGGGAGATAGCTCAGAAGAATAAGTGCTTCCCTGGTAAGCTCAAGGACCTGAGTTCAATCCCTGGTTCTGCAAAAAAAAAAGAACATTATAAATTATTGTTTTTTACAATTTTAAAATAAATGACAATTACAGAAAAATGAGAAGAGTACCTTGAAAAACTTATTTCTAATTATAGAAATGAGATCCATATTTAAGAAAGCATGAGATGGACTTGTGGGGAGAAATGAGTAAGTTTTTGTCCCATTACTATCAATATTTCCATCCAGTCTTTTTTTCTTGCAGGTAAGTATAGTGTATATACAGTTTTGTGCCTTATTTTGAAATGCACTGGGGCTGGAGAGATGGCTCAGTGGTCTAAAGCACCTACTTGAAACAAGCTTGGCAAAGCACAGGGACCA